TTTCCACCACTGAATTTCAAGAATAATTAACTCTCAATCACCAAAATTTCTCATCAAATATTTCTTTTATTGTTTTGGTTTGATTAACATAACTGTTCAGATAAATTTTGAGTTGACATTCCGTTCAGTCGAGTCTCAAAACTTCCATTGAGCCATAAACGAGCAAAGAATATCACCTCTAAAAAAAAAATAAAAATAATTTATATAATACAATCCATAATACAGTAATTTGTTTATCTCCCACAACTGTTACAACATTAGAAATATCACAACATCACTATCTCACACTGATAAATAAAAAGGAAAAAAAAAAAATAAAGAAAAAAAGTAAATGTTCTTCAGACGCCGAGAGCTAAGGACAACCGAATGAAAATAATCGAACAATAAAATAGAAAATAATGTCCAAACAAATGCCTTAAATTTTAATTCCCTACAAATTGTATAAAAAAATTTATCCACATTTATATTTTTTTAACATCCACTTGCTGACACTATTTGACTCATTAAACAATCATTGAAGTGATAGTGGCACAATCGCCTGGCTAAATGAATTGATAAACAAAAAGCATTGAAAATCATTATCACTGTAATACCATTAAGCTGTTCAGTCATTTTATATAAAATAATACTCAAACCGAGTGTACAATAAACAGTTAAGCCCATTGGCCTTCAATTTTTTCAACTGAAAAACAATAATCCTTAATTGTTAAATTCTCTGATGAATTTGTGGATGCAGTATGACTGTCAAGAGACAAATTCCATTTCACAATTTCATCCTAAAATTGTTTTTTTTATTTGGCAAGTCTAATCTCAACAGAGGCGATCTAAAATAAAGAATTAAACAATTTCTGTCTTAATTTAAAATGCCTCAGCTAATTATTGAATTCATCAATTCCTCACGATTCAGCTATGGCAATTGGGAAGAAAACCTCAATAATTGAGAATAAACAATTAATCTGGCACACAAGCTCTCGAATCAAACATTTATCATTTACTCGTCCGCGCATTGATGATCGATTTAATCAATTGGATTTAATAATCATCTGTTTATCGGAACTTCATTTTGCTGCCGTTTGCTGGAATTTTTATTTATTTTTATTATGGAAAAAAGAACAGTGTATGTATGATCGGCCATTTAGCTACATAACAATCACTAGGCTATTATATACAAATCGCTATACTATACATAACGGCTTGCACCAATCCAGTCACACATAACTGTACACATATACAAGAGAATTTAATTTTTATCGAAGGCATTCAAAGAATTCCGTGGAATTTATCAAATTATTCCATTAATTTACGGTTCTATTCGTTTTTTATTATGAATTTTCGTCCCCAGGGCTTATGACAATATCCCATGCCCCTCGATTATCAACTTATTGAAATATATTATCCAACTAACAATCGAATTGACGAAATGATCGATTAAATCCTCAATTAAGTCCCAGAATCGATTTTCCACGACACCCTCAAAACTCTGATATTCAATAATCTATAACTCGAGATCGGCGGAGTGAATTTTTTTTTTCAAAAATTCATCTCAAAGCTCTTTTCCAGCCCTTCAAAATGGCCGCGAAATTTTCGAAATCGCATCGTTCAGTCGCGAGATATCGAATCTGGAACATCCATCCATCATTCCCCGAATTTTCAAAAACTCAAATCTTAAACACCGGCCCGAGGACATACGCCCTGAGTACGAAACCGCGATAATTATCAAAAAAATACTGCAGAATGATGAAAAAGGAACCGTCACTGATGCAAGCGCATTAATCCTTATCAATATCCATTAACATTTACGATTTTAAATTCCATAATTCGTCATCTATTAATATTCACCGCTAAACAAATCGACAGTGTAACGCGTGTTTGTGCAATCGCTTGTCATAAAAAAAAGAAGAAAAACGGAAGAAAATAGTTTTTCAGCTTTATCATCGAATCCTCAATATCCAGCATTAAAAATCCCCTTGCAGATTAAAAATTAATGGATCAATCAATATCATCTCTGGCATTAATTCATTGAGATAAAGTAATTCATCTGAGAAGTCTTCGTCTCGCGTGTGCGTGATCCAGCAAAATGGAGGATCTAACTGTATATTATTGTTTAAACAATTTTATATCATTTAAAAATGAAAATTCAGGTGTGACACACCATTGTCGTTAGGATTTACACGATTTTATAATTGAAATTTAACGGTTAATCCTGATCTACTACCGCGGCTCGTACGCCTCGTACACAAGTTCTGGTACTAGAGCAAGTGCAAATGTCGTTGATGTCGATTGTCGGGAATACTGTCGACGTGATGATGTTATTTCGTGTTACCTGTTGTTCTCCTCCATCACCACTTGTTTAAATACTCCAGCTGGCATCTGGCTTTTTACCTCGTGACTGCCAAGAGCTGTTGTTCCGTCTTTTGCGATGAACAGTTGAAGACCAGATGCTAAAACAAAATTAATTCATTTAACTTGTGACAGCTTCAGAAAAATTGAAGAAGCATTTTGAATGAAAGGAGACAATGCAAGAAAAATCAACAGGATAATATGAGAATTGAAGAGGTATTCTTAGGTAATTAAAAGTGAATTGAAATTTTTTAAAATGACATTCAAAAAATTTTAACAGGATGACAGAAGAATTGAAGAGGTATCTTGCATAATAAACAAACCACTGGACAAGACAAATTGTTGGATTTATTGGATTACTCCTGACATCTTCTGTGATCCTGTTACAAAACTTCGATTCGATTTCAGCCGGATCGATCATTACCCGATAATCGAGCATCGAATAAAAATCGACTGATCGAAATTGCAACAAATGAATAACCCATTAAATTCATAAATAATGAAAGAAAC